CTGATCCAGATTATCTCAAAAGATAGAAGTGAGAGAGTTGCATTTTGGAGCAAATGCTTTGTCTTTGCAGAAAGGGACCTTTCTGCGGCGTGTGGAACTTCTGAGCTGTGTTTTACGTTATCTTCATTATCTAGCTTGGATTGATGGAAGGAATGTTGTTTGAGATTCTCCAATTACTGCTCTAGTTTTCATATTTCCCATCCCGAAAATTTGAATAAGCTTCTGAAATTGTCTGCAAATAGGTCTTGCTATTTTGGGTATGTTCATGTAGAGAAGAAGGGTGATGAGCTGGAGGAGAGTGGCGAAGTCACTCTAGGCGCTTGTAGCCCATGCCTTTTCATTTTCTCCCCCCTTCCCCAACACCAGACTCACTCAACCTTTCCTTTCTCTATCTCTCCCCTGCATCCATTTTTCTTCATTTATAAATATATTTTGATAGATTGAAATCACTTCTGTTACGTAATAGCAATTAAAGCTGATGTTATGGATTGAAGATCAATGAACAAATAGAGATCGAGTTCTTACAAAGGACCTAGATTGGGTTCTCCTGGAGAACCTAGATTGGGTTCTCCTGGAGAACCTAGATTAGGTTCTTACTAAGAGAACCCAGATCGGGTTCTTACCAAGAAAACCCAGGAGAAACAAAAAAAAAGGGGAAGAAGGTGGGAATCTGGGTTCTCTTGGTAAGAACACTTGCTCAGCTTCATGCTCAACCTCCTTTCCTATAGCTTCTGGTTTTCCTGTAGGTAGAGTAAGGGATGAGCGTGCTTTTGGGTTGTCTAAAACTAGAAACCCACAAAACCCAGGTGGTCCCGACCCTAGCTTTTCCAACATGGGTGAGGACGGAATGAAGGTGAAGACAGGATCTGTGGTAGTTCAGTTAATTTTTGGTGTATCGATAGCGATTGGCAGTGTTTTGATCTTGGTGTAGCTATTTTGGAAAAAATGGAAGTCAGGGAAGGAGATAGCCTGGGTAAGCGAGGGACAAGCTCTTAATGCCTGCCAAACCCCATTAAACCATATTTTATTTATTAAACCGATTGTGGGTAGTGAGTGTCGGTTCGGGAGTGTGTCTTCATCATTTTCTTAAAAATATTTCAGTATCTTTGCATTAATTTTAGTTTTAAATTATATTAACTATTATTTATAATACATTTAATGCATTTTAAAATATAAAATTATTATGTCATTAAAATCATATAATAAACAATTATTAATGGTAAGTTAATGTAAATTAAAACTTTCTAACCACTATATATTTTGTTTATCTATATATATATTTTTTTGTATTATATCTATCTTTAAGTTTTTGAGTTATTATTAGAATATCATCAACTTATCCTAAAAATTAAATTATAGGAATAGTGGCTCTTCATTTTCAATCATCATCATTATCATTCATTATGGTAATATAATTGTAATGAGGTTATATAAGATTTTCTAATCATTTTATACATTTTATTTTTCCCTTTTTTATTGTATTCTATCTTATTTTTAGTTTTAGATTACTATTAAAAAATAAATTTATCCTAAAAAATTAAATTATAAGAAGGTTAAAATCCCATTTTAGTTGTTCTACTTTAACAAAACCCCCTTTTTATCCCCTTGACTTCATAAAGAAACCTTTTTTAGTTGCTAAAGTTTAAAAGCAACCCCCTTTTTAGTCCCCATTACTTTTGCACATGTGGCACATACAATGATGAGGGACTAAAAGTGGACTAAAAAAAAGGTTTTTTAGTCCCTCTACTTACAAAAAAGTCCTTTTTTTATCTCTTTACTTTAAAAAAAGTCTCTTCTGAGTCTTTTTATTTTAGAATTTTCATTATCTAATGTGATATTTATGCAAAAAGATAACGAAGAAATTAAAAAGAGGTTAGATTTTAAATTTTAGGGAATAAAAAGGGATTTTTTTAAAATAGAGAGACTAAAAAAAAGTTTTTTTTTATTAAAATAGAAGAACCAAAGGGATTTTAACCTTATAAGAATAGTTGGTTTTCATTTTCAATCATCATTATCATTCACTAATTCCTAATTAAAACTTTCTAACCATTCTATACTTCTTTTTCTTCATTATTCTTTATTGTATTATATCTATCTCTAGCCTCTATATTACTATTAACATACGAACTTATTCTAAAAAATAAAGAATTAAAATAAAGTTATAGGCATTCATGAGTGGATGAATGCAAATATATATCACCAAGGTTTTGTTTGATTTATTTCTCCACATGATTGTGCATATATATCAAGGCATATATTTCACTCTCCTATCATTTTTATATTAACAATGAATATAATTTGTTTACCTTTCTATTAAAATTTCTTTTAATTTCGTTAATTATTAGATAGGTTATAGTTTACATTTTATTTTCTCATTTAATTAATTTTATTAATTAATTAAAATTAAAATTAAGTAAAACTTTCTCATTTTCAATTATGATACAATAACTATAATTGTGGGTATGTTTTTTATTAACTTTTAAATAAATCTTAATTAAAGCTTTCTAACCACTCTATACACACTACTAAAATTCTTGTTTTTAGCAACTAAGCATCAGCAACATGAAATTGCTTGTCGGTGATATGAATATTCACCGACAAAACCCATGTTGCTGATACTTAAATAGTACATCTTTTAACAAAAAATGTTCTTTACTTTTAGCAACATGGTTCTTGTTGCTGAAAATCATTTTCAGCAACAAGAACCATGTTGCTGAAATTTTTTGGCTACTATTCATAACCGGATGTTACACCAATTCCATAAAAAGTGTTTTTTGATTTTCAGCAACAAGAACCATGTTGCTAAAATTTTTTGGTTACTATTCATGACCAGTTTGGCTACTGTTCATGACCGGATCCTGCACCAATTCCATCAAAAGGGTTCTTTACTTTTAGCAACATGGTTCTTGTTGCTGAAAATAATTTTCAGCAACAAGAACCATGTTGCTGAAAATTTTTGACTACTGTTTATGACCGGATGCTGCACCAATTCCATAAATTAATTAGCAATATGGGAGCATGTCA